TCCCCTCCCCGTTACTCACAGCCAGGCGTCTCCTCATCCCTGCAAAGTCCCCTGCGCTGGGATGTCCCTGGACGCTGCTGCTGGCTGCTGGGGATGCTCTGGACGCTGGGGAGCCTTGGGATGCTCTGGATGCCGGGATGTGCTGGATGACGGGATGCTCTGGAGGCCAGGATGCTCTGGACACTGTGATGCTCTGGATGCACTGGACCAGGGAATAATCTGGACCCCAGGATGTTCTGGATGCTCTGGACCCCAGGATACTCCAGACGCTGGGGACGCTCCGGAGGATGCTCCAGACGCTGAGGACGCTCTGGCCCCCCACCACTCAGCTCTTGCCCCCCAGCTGGGCTGGGCTACCTGCAGAGCTCTGTCCCTGGGCACAATGGGACCCCCCTGAGCTCCTCCGTGCCTGAGCTCTGCCGCTGCAGCCAGGGACAGCACGGGGAGGCAGAGCAGCCCCGCGGCCAGCACAGGGATGCTCCCGGCCGAGCTCACCCCGAGGAGGAAGAGGCAGCCCAGCGGAGCGTGGGAGGTGCGTCCGGCGTGCAGGGTGTGCGTGTGCGATCGAGCGTGTGCAGGTGCCAGGGTTTCACCTGCGGCTCTGCGATGCACGGACAAGGATGCAGAAACGCCGACTGGGAGGAGGTGGGGCTGGGGAAGCGGGGGAGAGGAGGAGATGAAATGAAATGCTAATGGAAACAGGGATCTGCTGGAAACTCCACAAAGTGGCAGGCAGAGAGTTCCCTTTTCTTCCTTAAAGAGACGATGGCCAGCACCGCGCTCTGCCTCCCCTCCGACACCGGAGACCCCGCGATTGCCTGGCAGGAGGGCACAGCTCCACGGCTCAGCCCAGCCGGCAGCGCTGAGTGTCGGGCTCCATCCTCGGTGCCAGCTGATAAAAAGCAGAATTTTGCAGAACCAAAGAAAAAGCAGCAAAACCTGCATGCCCACAGGCTCAGAAAGCAGCCAGAGGCACGGAAAGGACTCGCCGGCTGATTTTCCAGCCATCTGCAGCCAGGGATGGAGGATGCGAGCTGGAGCCACGGGCAAAGCCTGCACCCGCGCCGGCAAAGCCAGCGCCCTCGCCTCGGTGCCGCCCAGGTCCCTGCCTCTGCTGGGGCAAGCCAGGATGGACCCGCGGCAACTTGCCCTTCAGCAAGCGGGAGGCAACGTGGCAGAGGACCCCCGGGTTCTGCTGGTTTCTTCCTCCCTCCCAGTTCAGAAGACACTCCGGAATCCTTAAGGTGTCCCATGCAACCACCTCCACGCTTCTGGGCCACCACCTCAGGGTGCCTGGCAGGGACTCATTTGGTTTTTTTTTAATTACCCAGCTGCCAAAAGGGTTTTTTTCTTCAGTTTCTGCTGGAGGGGGGGGAGACCAGAGCCAAGGGCACCAACTCCAGCACAAACCAGAGCCGTGTGTGTGTCTCCGCTGCGCCCTGGGCACCTACCCTGTGATCCCAGGGCCAGACATCACCCTTGTGTCCCTGTGCTGCCATCAAAGCTTAACACGCGTCCCCCAGGACGCCACCGCTGCAGATGTGTGGGCGAGAGCCAGCTGTGCACGCTGCACACCCCACCGGCCCCATCCCACTGTCCCAGACGCCTGCCCCAGCCGTGTGTGTGTCTCCGCTGCGCCCTGGGCACCTACCCTGTGATCCCAGGGCCAGACATCACCCTTGTGTCCCTGTGCTGCCATCAAAGCTTAACACGCGTCCCCCGGGACGCCACCGCTGCAGATGTGTGGGCGAGAGCCAGCTGTGCACGCTGCACACCCCACCGGCCCCATCCCACTGTCCCAGACGCCTGCCCCGGAGCAGAAATTAGTCTCTTTACCAAGATCTGCTTGTCTAATCACCTTTTCAACAACCTTGTCAAGCTTTTCCTAGTGGCTGAACGGGTGATCCAGGCCTGGAACCCACTTGTGAGCGAGGGGCAAAGCCGGGCTCGCCTCTGTGCAGGGACACAGCCCATATGCACCCCATTGCCCCCCCAGCATCTCCATGCCACTCGACAGCTGTTCACTATCATTGCCCCCCCAGCATCTCCATGCCACTCAACAGCTGTTCACTGGGAAATTCCAGTGCTGAAAGGGGGCTACAG